GACAGGGTTTCTCTTGTGTAGCTTTGTGCCTTTCCTAGAACTCACTTGGTAGCCCAGGATGGCCTCGAACTCACAGAGATCCGCCTGGCTCTGCCTCCCGAGTGCTGGGATTAAAGGCGTGCGCCAGCACCGCCCGGCATTAACTCATAATTCTTAAGAGTACCTACTGTAAGTTTCACATAATACTAGCTATCACAGAAGAAAAATAACTGACAGATTAGTGAAATCAATAAAATTTGAATTTTTCACAAAATGCTTTTTACAAGTCACTAAATACCCTTAGTTAAATGAGTCATCTTTGAGTTAATAAAATATTTGTAACTAATTTTAAAATTACCTCGTTTATCACAAATAATTTATCTTTACGGTCCATTTTAGTATCTATAAAAAGAAAAAGAAAGCAAGTAAATTATGGATTTGAAGACTACCTTGCTTTGATTACATATGCTATGTAGATAATGTGACAGAAGATTTTTAAGACTGACTAGACCTAAAGCCATTCGACCTCTTCCTTCTTTTTAAATAGAAACTAAACAAGCAGTGGGCAGATAGTGCAGTGCACACTCGCCACTGTATTGGAGACTGGAACCCGGGCAAGGCACAAGCCAGGCAGGTACTCTGCCACTGAGCTGTTTTATTTTTTTTTTTATTTTTATTTGTGTGTGTGTGTGTGTGTGTGTGTGTGTAACTTTACCCAGCCCTCTTTTTACTTTTAATTTCAGACATAGTCTCACTAATTTGCTCCAGTAGGCCTTGAACTTTCAATTTTCTGACCCCAGCTTCCAAGTAGCTGAAATTATAGGCCTGTGCCACCTGGCCTTACTCAAAACTGAAACTATTTTTATTTTTTAAGATAGGGTCTCATGTAGTTCAGGTTAGCCTCAGAGTACCTATGTAATTCAGGATGACCTTCAATTCCTGATCCTCCTGCCTCCGTCTCCCCATCACTGAAGTTATAGGTAAGCACCGCTATACCCAGCTCCGGAAATTAAAGAGACAAACTATGTAGGCTAAGCTGGCCTTGAACTCAAGAGATCAGGTTGCTTCTGCCTCCTAAATGCTGGGACTAAAAGTGTGTACCTCCACACCTGGCCAAAACTTATAATTTTAACTAATGAAAATATAATTTTGAATCAAATAAACCAATTTTAAAATTGGCTCTGAATAACCATAGAAATGAAACGCATCGATGAAAATTCTGATTTAGTTTCAGGGATGGGAGACAGCACAGGCAATGTCAGCTTGAGCAGCACTGAAGAACCAAGCATTATGTAAAACGTAATACAAAACATCTCAGGAAACAGCCACACACAGCAGTGCAGATAGCGAATCTCAGGAGCTAACGTTTTCACTAGTCTCTACAACAGAGCCCTGGTAAGCCATGGGTGGTTGTCGGAGCCCGTTCTGGGGTTCCTCGTGGCTTTACCCAGCAGGTCCGAATAGAGGATGATCAGGACCACGGGCCTGAGTGCAGGTGTCTGAGATGGTCTGCACTTGGCTGTGCTGGGGGAGGAGGTCTTTTGCTCCACCCCTTGGCGTCTCTATAAAAACCCTGGACCAGAGACAGTCCGGGCTCGTTGGAATAGGTTCCAGGCCCTCTCGAGGCTATCCTTTATTTTCTATCTGTTTATCTCCACAAGATTCTCCGCTATAAATCCTTCTATCTAATATTTCCTGCTGATCGCACTCAAGAAAACTCTGGGAAGCTGTGGGGGTGGTGGGTAAACGCCCCACAGGTGGTGGCACATACTTTAGTCCCAACATTGGGCTGAAGCAGGCAGATCAAGGCCAGCCTGGTCCATATAGTGACCTCCAGACTAGCCAAAGCTCCATGGTGAGACCTTGCCTCAAATAAATAAGTAAATAAATAAATAAACAAATAAATAGATAGATAGATAGATAGATAGATAGATAGATAGATAGAAAAATAAGCAAGCAATTAAGTAAGTAAAGAAAAGTTTTTAAAGTTCAGAAGGAAACACCTGCCAGTCCTTCCTTAGCATCTCACCCATCTTCTGACCTTGGAAGCCATTGTAATCCTAGTATTCTTACACTTTTAGAAAATGTTTCTATATTAAGAAACATGCTTAGGAAAGTAAAGAAAATGTGGATTTTGTCAACAGTTTATTATAAAATGCTAAATTTCTTTAAAACTGTGGTACTTGAAAAAAATGAACTTAGAAATGTGTGTGTGTTCCCGTCCATCCGTCTGGAGGTCAACCTCGGTGTTTATCTTCAGGCACGGCTCCGCTTGTTTTTTGAGACAGGGTACTTACACTGGCCTAGGGCTTGCCAACTTGGCAAGGCTGGCTTGCCGGCAAGTCGCAGGTATCCAGCTGCCTCAGAACCGAAGTGGTAATTGTGAACTCTCGTGAACTACCACACCCGGCTCCTTTATGGCAGCAGTTCTGGGGATTAAACTCAGGCCCTCGGCTTCACTGACTGTGCTATACCCCAACCCTTGTATTGTGTTCTACATAAATGAGGTGAGTTCATACACACAAATTTTAAAGTACGTGATACTGAAGTACCTGCTTTAGAATGGGGCATCAACATTCTCAAGTCCTGCATTAAGTGTCTTGTTCTGAAATTTATTCCTCTAGAAGAAAAGATGAGGATCCGCTCCTTATTTTTCCATTTGCCCTAAGGAAAAGAAAACATTAACAGGTTTTAACATCTTGTGCTGAACTTATCTGGTCTGTTCTCTTGACAGTGTTATAAAGTTTCCAGACCCAGGCATGGTGGTATACCTCCACAGCCCCAGCTAGTGAGGGTGAAGCAGGAGGATCCCTTGAACCTAGGGATGTAAGGCTATCCTAGGAACATAGTGAACTGTCTAAAACAAGCATTAAACAAAACAAAGAACACTTCAATTGCTTCTTACTACTGTAAGGATTCATTCTTAGCGCCCTTTCATTTTTTAAATTTTTATTCTCTCCATTAAGTCCCCTATGCTCATTTCCAGTTTTAACTATGTAAAGAAAGGTAAGAAGTCTTCCTAGCCCTAATAACACATGTATTAAGAGTAAAGCTTCAGACTCAAGTGTGTAACACTAAACTTTACCATACTTGTATCCAGCAAATTTCCTTCCCAAGCTTCATCTTTCCTCTCTCCCCTCCTCCTTTCTGCTACCATCATTTCAGTTCCTCGAATTCAGAATATCCCATTTGCCCTTATTTTCTTAAATAGACATCACAACCATAAATACTAACAGTACCTCTTTACAACAATTTGTAAATCTTACAGTGTCCTTACTTAAACCCTGATAACTGATTATCAGCTGCAAAGCTCCTGAATGTCTGGATTTCCCCGACAGAAGTACTTCTGACAGTTATCTAACCAGCATAATTTAAAAGCGCTGTCCAAGTCATGATTTTACCTCCCGGGGGTTTCCAAAGTTCAAAACGGCATATACCCTCTATGATTGGATTCTAAAACACATTTTGACTGTTTATTTCACCACTGTCCAACACTGGCCCTGCAACCAACCTGGCTCTAATTTTTAGATTTTCTGTATTTCCCCACCTTAATGCCTTTGATGAATTCTTCTGTCATTCACTCTCTCTTTGAATATCAAAATTAAACCCTTTCTTTGAAATCAAGCTCAAAGGCTAAGTCCTTCGTGTTTTCTTACTATCCTAAAAGTGTCTCATGAATTCCAATGAATGTACCATAGTGTGGTTCAGATTAGATTCCAACATGTTTCTGTCCAGCTCCTAAAAGAGGGAGAGCACTAACACGTGTTGAAAAACCTAAAAATCCAGCTCATTTTTCTCGAAAGCATCTTTTATCCTGTCAGACAAGAGTACAAGATTTAACTGTTAATTAAAACTGGGCTACAATTTATTATATTATTATTATATTATTATATATTATTATATTTATTATTCATATTTATTTATTATTATTTATTTATCACTTGTTACATTTCCTTTTTACCTAAGTACTAAAGTAGTAATACACTAAGCACAGGACAGGCATTGACAAGTCTAAGGCAAGATCTTTTCCTCCATTAATACATCTTGCTTAAGGGGTTTTCAACTGACTGAAAGTTAACTCTGCTCGCCCTCTAAACACATGCAATTTTCTAGGAAGCTGCCTTTCCTTCTCAGGGCCAGTATTTCTGGAAGAAGTCTTGTTCATCATCTCGGAGATGCCAAGGCCAAGGAAGCTCACCTTGCTTTATATATAGTAAGGAGCACCGCTGAACACAGATAAAACTCATGGTCTCGTCTAGTTTTTTTTTTTATTATCCCTAAGATCCAACCAAACAAGTTAGACTCACAAGACAGTAACTTTAAGGCTTGGCGAGCAAACTTCGGTATCCCTGTCTGATACCGGCCAACATGGCAAGATATGGAAGGAGTGGAGCAGATACATCCAAACGAGGAAAAAAACAAAACAAAACAAACAACAACAAAAACAAGGAAAAACAGAACCCTGGTGAGGCGGGGGACGAGTGAATACACAATACTAGAAATAAATACCCCGTTCAATCGCCTCCCTGTGAGCTGGCTACGGGTCTACGGACGGCTGTCTTAAGGAGGCCACCTGCACGAAAATTAGACACAAACACTGTCCAGCCCAGTCCAGGGGACCCCTGAGCTCGCGAGCCAGGACAGCCTTAGCAGCTGTTCACGTCGGTAGCCAAAAAGCGGGTCCCGAAGCTCACGCCACACGTAGCCCCGCAGCTGGGCCTTTTACCTTGCAAACGGGACCAGGAATGCGATCTCTATCTTCCTCCTCCACCTCCTTCGCCACGGCGTCCGGCTTAGCGGGCTGCCCGGCATCTTTCCGGCTCCTTTTCGGCTTCTTCGCCTGCACCTCCAAGCCCCCACGCCGCTTCCTCTTGGTCGCCACCATCTTGCCCCGCCGCGCTCGCTGCCGGCCGCACTTCCGGCCCTGCCGCTCGCTCCGCCTTCCGTTCTCTATGGTAGCACACACTAGGCTCTGGGTTTAGTCATCCCGCTGTAGAGCGCCTCCTTCTTCCGGTCTCGTCGTAGGCTCTCTAGGCCCGCGGCGGCTCGGTGGTGACGGTGGCCCAAGTGGCGGCGGATCTGAACTGCGGCGGGAGCTGTCGGCCCGCCTTGCAAGCTTCGGGGCTGCTAAGGTTCTCCTTCCTCGGGGCTGGGCTGGAAAGGGCCGCGAGGCGTCGGGCATCACCTCAAAGGCAGGGGCCTGGTGCCCGGGGCTCCCCCTTTAGTGGCAGCGCCGCTGTGACAGCGGCGAGCGAGCTGGTGGGCGGGGTGACGGTCGGGGCCGCCGCCGCTCCGGTTCGGTGGGTGGCGGGGTTGGTGGCGCTAGGAGGCGCCACACAGGCTCTAAGCAGACTCTGTAGCCTGTTTATTTATTTATTGACCTGTGGAAACCACGCCAGTGCTGCTCTGTGAATTGCTTTTTGTCCCCCCCCCCCCCCCCCCCCATGAAAGACGAGGAAACCGTAGTTTTGAAACAGGGAGATAGAATTTCCCCAAAAGTTAAAATGGCAGAAGTGGCGATCATCTCCCTGCTCAGCCGATTTCGGCTCGGGTCGAGGTGGCCCGTCTTGTCAGCACTGATGCCAGGTTGGTTGTGCGTCTCTCGGGTTTTCAGAGGTCTTCCGGGAGAGGAGCACCCCTGTCTCCGAGCCGACTGTGCCGGGATCCCGACCATCCATGCCTCTCCTAACCCAGCACGTTCAGGACGAGGACGGACAGTACTGCCTAGTGGCCAGCCTTGACAACGTGAGGAATCTCTCCACGGTCTTGAAAGCCATTCATTTTAAAGAACACGCCGCGTGTTTTGCCACTAAAAATGGACTCAAAGTTACAGTGGAAAATGCAAAGTGCGTGCAAGCAAATGCCTTTATTCAGGTATGGGGGAGAGGAGGCACTTTTAAGCGTTCGCCTAGTTCATGAATTTTGAAGGAAATTATTCGAAAAAACTCAAGTTAGAGAATAAATGCCATTACTTTGTTTTTTTTTTCTTTCCTGACAGCAAATGCTTTTCCCACTAATGATAGTTTATTAAGGTTAAACTGTGAGATACTCTTCTCATTGTTTACCTCTTTTTTCTTTTCTTCTTTTTTTTTGGGGGGGGGAGATTTCAAGACAGGGTTTCTCTGTGTAGCTTGGCACCTGTCCTGGAACTCACTCTGGAGCCCAGACTGTCGTTTACCTCTTTTAATCCTTACAAAAATAGGCACGAATATCATCCCCATTTACATAAGTGGCAACAGCAACAGCTTTAATTTCAGCTGTCTTATGATGAAAACTCAATGTTTGTTTACTCTTTGTAATTATTGTCCTGCACGGTTTAGTTTTCCCTCTTGTTGGCTGTAATAGTGTTTTGGGTTTTTTGTTGTTGTTGTTGTTGTTGTTGTTGTTTGTTTGTTTTTTTGTTATTTTTGCTGAAACAGGGTCTAACATCTCACATATAACCCTGGTTACCTGGAACTTGTTTTATAGACCAGACTGAACTCAAGTTCTAGATTGACCTGCCTCTACTTTGTCTGGAAGTACTGGGATTAAAGCCCTGCACCATCACCCGCTATAATCTATTCTTACAGCTGTAATCTCTTTATATGGTTCATATCAGATCTCAACATCAATTCATAGTTTTGAACATGTGTATAGCATGACCTCACAAATGGAGGAATAAATAAAACATGGTTCCTGTCTTCAAAAGAAAATGGAGAGGCTCAGCAGTTAAGAGCGCTGCCTGCTCTTCCAGAGGACCCAGGTTCAAGTCCCAGCACCCACATGGCAGCTCACAACTGTCTGTAACCACAGTTCCAGGTGATCTGACATCCTCCCACAGGCAAAACACCAACACACATAGAATTAACTTCTAAAAAAAGAAATCGGAAACTGTTATGATGCATGCATTATTAAATTGTTCTATTCACAAGTGACTTTAGTCTTAACTGAGGGGCTCAAGGTAAGGGGCAGGGAAAGCTCACATGGGTAGTAGGTTTATATCCAGAAATGAAGATGAAGGACCCCTGCTTGGGGAAGGGTCTTTTTTTTTTTTCATGGCTTTTTAATTAAGTTTTTTTTTTTAACTTTATGTGTATAATAAGTGTTTTGCCTGCATGAATGTCTGCAAAAGGTATGTACCTGGTACCTTCAGAGTACCTTCCAGAAGAGGGTATCAGATCCTCTGGAAATGGTTACGTATGGTTGTGAGCTACTATATGGGTGCTGGGAATGGAACCTGGGTCCTCTGGAAGAGTAGCCAGTGCTCTTAACTGCTAAGCCATCTCTCCAGGCTCACTTTTAAATTGTTAAAAAAATTTCATACAATATATTTTCATCATATTCCCTCCCCTCCCCACTTCAGGAGCTTCTAAATGGGACCCAACTTAGTGCTATACCTTTAACTATTAAACCATTGAGTAGTATTCTAATGAGTAATGGTTGAAAAATTGATATCTTAGTGGAGAATGAGAAATTGTTCTCACGCAGTTGGCGCGGTATTGTTACTTTTTAAGTATAAAGTGAAATATAGAATCTTACATGTGAATTGTCATTCTTTACTATAACTCACTTCCGTGTTTACTTTTCTCATAGGCTGAAGTGTTTCAAGAATTTATCATTCAGGAAGAATCTGTTACTTTCCGTATTAACTTAACTATCCTTTTAGACTGTTTATCTATTTTTGGATCAAGTCCTACGCCAGGTGAGCTATATTTTATATTTTATGATGGTGATGATGATGAAGGCATACAGGTACTATGGTTGGAAAAACACAGGAAGAATTTTAGAATGTAAACTTTTTTTTTTTAAGATTTATTTATTTATGTATACAGTGTTCTGCTTGCATGTGTCCCTTCAGGCCAGAAGAGGGCACCAGACCTCATTACAGATGGTTGTGAGCCACCATGTGGTTGCTGGGAATTGAACTCAGGACCTCTGGAAGAACAGCCAGTGCTCTTAACCTCTGAGCCATCTCTCTAGCCCGTAAACTTCTTTTTTGAGACACGGTCTCATGTATCCCATACTGACCTTGAACTCACTCTGTAGCTGAGGATGTCCTTGAATTTCTCATCCTCCTGCCTCTGCATTTGAGGTGCTGAGATTACAGCAACCACCTGTAGTTTTTATGTGGTGCTGGGAATTGAATGCAGTACTTGATACATGTTAGGCAAGCACTGCCAGCTGAGCTCCAACCCCAGTAAATGCTTAGTCAGGAAACCAATTGCTATGGGAAGGGCTCTTGAGGCCCTACCCAGAGTGGAGAAGCTTTTGGCACTTGATGGCTGCTAGAGGAGGAAAATCACATTTCTTTAGGACAGGTGGAGGAGTCCAACAGAGAGAGGGCTGGATATGAATATGCAATGTATTAAATTTTCAAAGAGTAAAGGAAAACTAATTTCCAGTTCATTTTCCTCCCAGTGGTTATAATCACAGAACATAAATAAATATTCAAAGTATCGGTTCACTGTATGGTTGTCGTTCTTTATGTATTTGTGGAGGTATTTACTTATCTTAGTTCATCTTAACTAACCGGGTGCATTGGTGACCTTCCTTGTCGCCGTGACAGAGTGACTGACAAAGGCCCTGTTCATTTGGCTCCCAGTTTGAGGGTGTGGTCCATTATGGCAAGTAAAGGCATGAAGCAAGAGCATGAAGCATCTGGCCACATTATAGCCATAGGCAGGAAGCAGAAAGTTGCTTGGGTGACTTTCTCCTTTTTATTCAGTCCCTGATAGAAGCCCTTGGAATGGTGGTACCCAGGGTTAGGGTGAGACTTCCGCCACCTCACTCCCTCACAGACACCTAGGGCTTTGTGTCCCAAGGGAATCTAGAGCCTGTCAAGTTGACAGAATCATCACACAAGGCTCCAAGATCCCAAGTTTAAAATCAAAGAACACATTAAACACTCATAAATTATATGTTTAACATTGTGAAATTTGTTTTAATTACATATTTTCTCAAACTTACTTAGAATTAACATCTACTTAGAGGCAGAGAAAAATTTTCCTGACTCCCAGTTGACTTTATTTAAAATAGTTTGCTGAAATTAGGATAAGACTCATAAATTATGTCTGTTTCTTCAAATAGTTTCTTCAAAATATATTTTTACTTGCTTAGGAAATTACTTTTAGAGATTAGGAAATTCAGTTGCCATGAGCATAAGACTACAATGGAAGAATCTCAGGAGCATCCAAGAATGATTTTCTTTCATAGGAAAGTAACCTGAGTGTAAGCTAGAGAGCATCAGTGATGGTCCTGAAACCATGGCCTTGCACTGGCAGCTCCACTGTTAGTTTGGGGTTTGTAGACAGGATCTGGAGTGTAGTTCAACTTGGCCTTAAACTCGGGATACTTCTGCCTCATCTGCCAAGTCCTGGGATTACAGTGTACTCTGCCACACCGTGGCCCCCTGGCTGTGATCTCGTCTATGCTGTCAAAATGCTGGGATAGTGGGTCTAGGCACAGTCTGTGACTGAGTCTGATTACACACTTGGAGCAAGTGAGATGGCTTATGGGTAAGAGTGTTTACCCAGCACGCCTGACAGAACCTGAGTTTGAGTCCCAGGTCCTGTGGTAGAGGGAGAACCAACTCAAAACTCGTTCCATGAAGCCCATGGGCATGCCATGGCATTCATGCCCCCACACTCACAGCCATCATACACATACTGCAGTACACGTATGTTTTTAACCATGTGTTATTGCAGGGTTCCCCAGCTGGTTTTTCCTAAGAACTTGTGCTTCCCCATATCCCTTACTGGCTCTCTAGCCAGTAGAAAGGAGCCAGAATATTTTATATTCCTTCTCTGTAGGGATGTAAGGTGTTAAATAACATCCCCAATGGCTACCCTCTATTGCTACCAATTTGATTTTAAATAATACTGTATCTCAGTAGGAGGCATTGTATATGAGTAAGCATTTTTCTGCGGCATGTTTTCCATTTTAAGTGGAAAATTTGTTTCAACAAATTAGGTTTGCTCCCAGTTTCCTTGCAGTTACAGGAATTGGGATTCTTTAAGAAGAGACATGCATGCTAGAAGCTTAGCAGAATAAATTATTCTTAAGGCAGTATGTGTGTCATTTGGAGGGAAAGCTAAATCCAGAGCCACAGAGCTCAGCCTGCATGACTTCCTTCATTGCAGGGACGCTCACTGCACTTCGGATGTGTTACCAAGGTTATGGTCACCCTCTGATGCTGTTTCTAGAAGAAGGAGGAGTGGTGACAGTCTGCAAAATTAACACTCAGGAGCCTGAAGAGACTCTGGACTTTGATTTCTGTAGCACCAATGTTATGAATAAGATTATCCTGCAGTCAGAGGGGCTCCGTGAAGCATTTTCTGAGTTGGACATGACAAGTGATGTTCTGCAGATCACCGTGTCTCCTGACAAGCCCCATTTCAGGTACATGAGTACAGTTATCCTTAATGTGGTCTGGTAGTGGATCCAACTCTCCACCCAACATTTGCTTGAGTTGCAGGGACTTTTTACCCATCCTAGAGTTTTCAAAATTTTCAGATGCATTTGATTATAATTTTACAACTCCAAGATAGGAAATTTAAGACATGAGAATAATCTACGTAGCATTTTATAGTCAGGCATTGTTGGTTTGGTGATAAGAAGCCCATTCTCATAATCTACAAGCCACCTGTATTTTCATTGCTATATTCCATGATGTAGATGAGGTTACATCAAAAAGAATATTGGACTAAAACATTTAAACAGCGTGTTTGTATTATATGGTATCTCTCTCTCTTTTTTTTTTTTTCCTTTTTTAAGTTAGTTCAGGATACAAAAGGAAGTAGATATTGCTGGTAGTTTTTTTTTTTTAAATTTAGTAGCTATTGATAATCGAATGTACAAATCCATCTTCAGACTAGTAAAAACACCTTAAAATTAAGGTAGGAGAAAACAATGTGTGAATCAGCAGAGAACAAAATTGCAAACCATTAAATACCAAGATAATACTCTTAAGTACTTGGGAAACGGTACTTGAGTACTTGGAGGGTTAGTACTTGGGAAACGGTACTTGAGTACTTGGAGGGTTGGTCCAGGTGAACTTCATAGGTCCAGGCATTTTTCAGCAAGAATACGGTGTTGAAACTCTTCTGACATTTGTGCCAGTAAAATTTCTGTGGGTTTTTTTTT